AAAAATATTTATACGGATTCAAATAGAAATTTGCCAACATTGAACAAAATTGGAATCGTGATATTAAAACTTGCCTGATGATTGCTTTATCTTTAAAATTAACGATAACGAAATCCAGGTCGATGTGCAAATTAAATACATATCATCCTTCTCATGGCTAGCTAGCTATCGACTTCATTACAAACAAAACCAGCCCAGCAACCATGATGAATGACTCAAACAACATTTGTTCTAAAATTAAAAATAAACATCTTCACGATAGGTTTTAAGAGAGAGAGAGAGAGAGAGAGAGAGAATGAAAAAAATATATTTATACGGTTTCAAATGGAAAATGATCAAAATTGAACAAAATTTAATAAATGATGTTCGATTTAGAACAAAAAAACATAGTGTCAAAATTGAAATAAAAAATTAAACTTAGTGTCAAAATCGAAAAAAAGTGAAAACTTAGTGTTTTTTGTGGAAAAAAAATTCAATTTTGACACGTCAGCATATCATGTAAGTGTAGGAAATTAGGGTTTGTATTGTAGGAAATTAGGGTTTGTGGTGGACACAGCAATGGATTCATCCATATTCATACGGTGCAGTTTAAACTAGGGATGAGCAAAAGGACCAAACCGGTCGGAACCGGACCCGACCCGGGAACCGGCTTCGGCCAAAATCAAGAACCGAACCGGCCCGGCGGTTCTACCGGTTCCCGGTTCTTGTCGTGTTTTCAAATGTTGGAACCGGTCCTCGAAAAATAGCATCATACGGTTCCGGTTTTTGCCGGTTCCACCGGTTTTTGCCGGTTCTACCGGTTCCGGTTATATCGGTTCCGGTTCCTACCGGTTCCCGGTTCCAAAAATCCACAAAAATAACGTCCCGGTCCCAGCCCAACCGGTTCCATCGGGTTCCGGTTCCTGCCGGTTCCCCGGTCCATATGTTCATCCCTAGTTTAAACTGACCGTATATGCCAAGGAGTTCATTGTACTGTTCAGTGACAGGCCTTGAATCTTCCATTTTATAATTATTAAAGTCACTGACCAGAAACTTCTTGCTAGAAGCATCCTCAGTAATGTATTTCAGTTCAAGAGTGTCCCACAACTCCTTGGCACACAAGGCTTCACTATGGATATCAAATAAAGCATCAGACATACCGTTCAGAATGTGACCTTTGCAGATGTAGTCATCATTGTCCCACTTCTGTCTATTTCTTGTCTCTTCAGTCGTCTCAACAACACCTTCCTCAGGCTCTGCTGGTCTAGGAGTAGTCAGCACGTATGCTGCCTTGAGAGTAGTCAGCATGAAGTGCATCTTCTTCTTCCACCGCCTGAAGTCAACACCTTCGAACTTCTCCAGCTTTGCAAACTTAGTGGTCATCTCGCGGATTGAGTCACCCATCTCCAGAAACAGGAAATATCAGTTCGATTGTAGGAAATTAGGGTTTGTGGTGGAGATCTGGATATCAACTTGGATCGTGATATCACTTTCCGAACTGATATTTCTACCATATGCCTGGGTTACAATAAATTCAGCCTAGGATAATCCAAATGGACACTTACGTTTCTAGGCACAGAAAACGTAAGCCAATATGCTAGAGGATTATGTGAAAGTATGATGAAAACGGGAGCTTAAGATCGTGACTCTCTTCTGTAGAGAAAGAGTTGTTTATATATTAAACAAGATTAGGGTTTCATTAGGGTTGGGCCGTCATTAGTTGCTTTGGAAGCAAGTAATATTAATCCGAATTAATGAGGATTTAGGGTTACCAAAACTAACGAGTTTCGTTAGTTTTACCATAATCACCCTCAAGAAATTGAATTTTCCACTATGTTCCCAGCCAGGGGCTCTGCCCCTTGGACCCCGCCAAAGGGGCGCTGCCCCTTTGGAAACCCCGGACCCAGGGGCGCTGCCCCCGGACCCCCGACTAGTCGTCGAACCGGCTTCTAATTCGATCTTATACATGCGTGCACTCCGCACCACCCCGTACATATATTAGAGTAGAAATTATGAAACCCCCTTAGCTCACATGTTAGTTCCAGTTACTTAAAATGACATGGTGACGCTAAAATCACCAACAGTCAGCATGCCACGTCATCAAAACTAACACGTCATCATGCCACATCAACATATAACCTGGTTGACCGATCAAGTGGTCATAATTGTAACAAATTCGAAAATACAGTGTCAAATTTGAGACAAAAAAAAACACAGTGTCAAATTAGAGTTTCGGTGTAAACTGAGTTTTTTTTTTTTGTTATTTACCCTATTTTTTATCTAACAAACGTTACATCAGTAAACCAATTGAAATAAATTTGTTGCTTTATTAACTCAATTGATATAACGATATGAAATTTAGCATCATATAACAATGCATATCAAACTTCAAGTATGTTATCACCTTCACATCGAGGTTTATATTAATGGAAGTTTGTTATACGTAATCAAGAATCATAGCGCGTGAAAAGGATAGCTGTTAATGTGCTAGCGGGTCAAAATATCAAAGGAAGATAGCGATGGCTATCCACGTGACTACGTGGGTATGAAACACAGACAGCTCATACGCTTTTCTCCCTTCCAATAAACACTTCCAAATCTTCATTTTAATATATATTCGCTAATAAATAAGCATACAATATTTTAAATCCAATTTAATAAAAAAAAACTTGAATGTTAAAAGAAATATATTATTAAGACTGGCAAGCAGCAAGTAGCAAAGAGATAAGCTCAAAAAAACAAACCAAAACATGATACATGATGCAAAGACAGAGAGATTAAATAAGAGACAAACACCATATATTCCAATTCAATCGAAAGATTTATTTTTTATTTTTTATTTTTTTAAATTTTAAATCACAGTTGAAAAATGAAATTGATGAATTTTAACAATAAACGACAAAAGTAGATATTTTGATTTTAACAATTTGATGATCTATATTAGTAGTGTTTTACAAGTGTTTGAATATGTTACACTTGTAACTTGAAGTTTAAGCATCAAGATTGTTGTGTGTAGGAAATTTATTTGTGATTTCGTTTTCTATTGTAAGAATATAATTACTTGAAACAGACTTTATCTAACCACATATAAGTTTAATACTGATTAAATAGTTATTTAATTTTAATTTTTGTTTTTATGTATTCTAATCATTTTCATTTCATACAAAAACACCGCTAACCAAAACTAAAGAACAGTAATATATAGATTACAATTTTAAATATAAAAAAATACAAACAGTAAATTACATATGAATATAAATGTATTTTTGGCAAGGAGTATTTAAAAGCATTACAGATAAACACAAATTAAAAAATAAAAACTTTGCTCGGTGTACAGACATAAGACTTAAAGGGTATTTGAGATTGTTTATTTAAAGTTTTTTAGCTCATTCCGGTCAGTAATAAGCATGTTTAAGTTTTTGGATCGAAAACAAAAATTTTACTTATTCCGCTATATAGCTGTAATAAACCATTTTTGATAAGTTGTTTTGTTTAAATTTATTAGAAATTCCCCATTAAGGATGAGAACAAAATTACACTTTTATCCTTAATTTAAATAAACAAAATATTTTACACGTAGATACAGAATTTATCAAACATAAAAAAATAACTTATTATTTTATTACGTTTTGGTATTAGACACACTAATCCATTTTTTTCTTTCTAAAACTCCATTTTACACTAGAGAAAATAATAAACAGTTTTATGAAAACAATCATGACTTGTTTTAGATAAACAATCCGAAACATTTTTTAAAACTTTTATTTTAAACAAAAATACTGATAGTTTTTAAAGAACTTTTAAATAAACAATCACAAACATTTTTCAAGTAGTTTCAAAAGCTTTTAGAAATTATAAATTTTAGTTTTTTTAGGTTTATGGCATTTTATAAATTTCAAAAGCTTCTTGTTGGATTTTGTTTTTTATTTTTTTGTTGATTTTTCTAATATAATTTTCCGTTAAACAAAAACTATCAGGTGCAAATATCAACTATTTGAAAACAAAATTAGTTTTGCATTTAAAAATATAATTAAATTAATAAATAACAATATTGAAATTCACTTATTTTTGTACAAATGACAAGAGAAAATACAGATTCCCAATTTTTCTAAATTTTTTCCATAAAATAACAAAAAAAATTAAAAAAATTTACCAAAATAGCCATAATTTTCGTAGGTAGTGAATGAGAAAATCTCAACTTGTTTCCCATTCAAACATTTATTGCTCTTTCATATGAATTCCATTTGAGCTAAAAGAAAATTTATTATGTTTTTTTGTAACATGAGATTCCGTTGACATATTACATTTCAAATATTAATGTGAGGAAGTCATATTTTTTTAACTTCAAAATAAGCTACTCTATGAAAAATATGAAAAAATTCCAACTTTGAGTCTTTATAACATTTGCATACAAACTCCGTTTTAGTTGACTTTTTTATTGTGATATTTATAAAAAAATCTATCTATAAACATATTACATTTATAATTAGGATGCAAGGAAGTTATACTTTTTAGCTTTAAAATAGGCTGTTCAATAAAAGTTATGAAAAAAAAACTTTATAACTTTCGCATATGCACTTTATAACGATCATCAAACAACGTGGGTTCTTCCGATCACAATAATGACAAACAAAAAAAAAATAATAAAAAATCACAGATCACTCAGATTTTCGCAAATGTTGACCGTAAAAAAATTATTAATTTCTAAATTTTTTTCTTTCGCATACCACCTAAATTTTGCCCTTTTTGCAAACGATGACGTGCAAAATTCTACAAAATGAAAAAAATTATAAGTCACTTATATTTTCATAGATAATGGCCTGAAGAAATTATATCTGTTATAATCATTTTTCTGATTTTTACTATGTTAAAAAAAAAAGATTTCAATTTCTGTAATAAGAAAACGTTTTACTTCAGGCAATATCGAACCGACAATTGTTAAAATCTACGCGGCATCACCAAATCGAGACTCGAGAGTAGCATTTTGTTTGTATACGCGCGAGAACACGGATCACAAATATCGAATTAACCACAATTAATAGCAATGTGGCCCACACACCCTGCGTAAACCTTTCTCCCTCTTTTTTCTCACTGCTTTAAATACCTTCCTCCATCACCGACGACGCCATATCCGATCAAATCCAGTCCATCGAGAGAAAATCTAGCAGAAAGCTACTCATACCCGGAGATATAGCATGGCGGCATCGTCGGCGAGGGTAGATCTGGACGGAAATACGATAAATCCCTTCACAATATGCATGATTGGTGCCGGTGGATTCATTGGCTCACACTTGTGCGAGAAATTGTTGACGGAGACGCCGCACACTGTCTTGGCGGTGGACGTTTACAATGACAAGATCAAACACCTTCTAGAGGGGCCGGATTCCCTTCCTTGGGCTGGTCGCATCCAGTTCCACCGTCTCAACATTAAGAATGATTCGCGCCTCGAAGGTCTTATCAAGTGCTCCGATCTGGTAAAACCTTCAATTGCATTTCTAGATTTGTTTAATTTTCTTTTTTCAATCCTTGATTTTATTCTGAGTTATTAATCCTCTTGGATCTGCATTATTATCTTCTTCAATTTAAGAGTGAGGATGTGGATTTCGTTAAGCTGTTAGTTGAATACCTCTAGAATCTGGTCAAAGATAGTGTGCGTGTTCCATGCTTGAAGCGTAAAGTACTGAAAGAATCCATTAGAACATGTTAATGGCTGCTAGTACTTTGCGGAGATAGTATTCAATAACACGTATTCGACCGAATGATTGAGTTCATTTTTTTTTGTTGATTTAGACAGTAAATCTAGCCGCGATCTGCACACCGGCGGACTACAATACGCGTCCTCTTGACACGATCTACAGTAATTTCATCGACGCTCTCCCTGTGGTATGATTCACGTTTCTGTATCGTTGATTCGACATATTTTTCATTTTCTCTACATAATAAACACTTCTACTGTTTCTAATGTTCGATGATTTCAACCAATTCTAATCGTTAATCTGATCTTCATCTTTTAGGTCAAGTACTGTTCAGAGAATAACAAGCGGCTCATTCACTTCTCTACTTGTGAAGTATACGGGAAAACCATTGGTAGCTATCTTCCCCAAGATAGCCCCTTGCGACAGGTTAGAATTCAGATTTAGAGTAGTTAACTGCATTATTCAATCATCCTTACTTATTAACTCCTTTTTTTTTTCTTGGATCATAACAATTTACAGGATCCTGCTTACTATATCCTTAAAGAAGATACATCCCCTTGCATTTTTGGCCCAATTGAGAAACAAAGGTGGTCTTATGCATGTGCAAAACAATTGATCGAGAGGCTAATCTATGGTATAAACACATTCTTTTTCATCTCTCATTTAATATTTGAATTCACCATGGAATTCTCCTCTCATGACTTTGGTTTTCTTTGCAGCTGAGGGTGCTGAAAATGGTCTTGAATTCACCATTGTTAGACCTTTCAACTGGATCGGCCCTAGGATGGATTTCATTCCAGGGATTGATGGTCCCAGTGAAGGTGTTCCCAGGGTTCTTGCTTGCTTTAGTAATGTATGTAACATGTTTCACCATATCATTGAATTTTATCTATTTAATTAATCAATTTAATCGTTATCTGTATTAAAAAAAATGGATTCTTTTGGTTCACAGAATCTTCTCAGACGTGAGCCTTTGAAGCTAGTCGATGGTGGTGAATCTCAAAGGACCTTTGTCTATATCAAGGATGCCATTGAAGCTGTTCTTTTAATGATTGTATGTTACTTACTAGTTATTACAACACTCTTAATTTCAATCAAAGAAGAATCTCATTCTTGACTATTTTCTTCACAGGAGAATCCTGCTAGAGCTAATGGTCATATCTTCAATGTTGGGAACCCCAACAATGAAGTTACAGTGAGGCAGCTTGCTGAAATGATGACTAAGGTAATTTTTTGTTATTGAAAAGGGTATTTTGGGAAAGGAAGTTTGGTCCTAACATTCCATTTTTATTGCATGTGGCAGGTGTATTCAAAAGTAAGTGGTGAAGATTCAATAGAGACTCCCACTGTTGATGTGAGTTCCAAAGAGTTTTATGGTGAAGGCTATGATGATAGTGACAAGAGAATTCCAGACATGACCATTATTAACAAACAATTAGGTACCTTTTATCAGTTATCAGCTACCAGCTACCAGTTACCTGCTATTTTTGGTAATCTGATTTATTTTTGTAATTGATAGGTTGGGATCCGAAGACATCGCTTTGGGATTTGCTGGAATCGACACTTACCTATCAACACAGGACATATGCGGAAGCAGTGAAGCAATCCGTTGCAAAAGCAGTAGCTAGTTAAGACAGTTAGTGATGTGTGCTTTTAAAACTCAGCTTTTCCTGTATAATGTTTTTATGTGCTGTGAATTGTCACCACCAAAAAAAAAAATTGGGTTTTGCTTTTGCTACTTTTGCTTTTCTTTTAGTTTGTTGTCTTTCGGTATTTCATTAAATGTCGTATTTAGGTCTTGGACCATGTCATAATTTATTAATTTATTGTCACATAATATATTAAAAACACAAGCATATCATATTTTAATTTTCTTTACACTCTGTTGCTTCAGACTCTACATTCCAACCCATTATTAGATGTCATTTACCAATTTAATGTAACCCGTTTATTACTTGTCATGTCTTAACAGCTATTAGGCATGAACATTTGAATCAAAACAACCAAACACATCTCCAAACCTAACTTTAATTTCTATGGATATTTAGGGATTAGGACATCAAGAACGCGAATATACATCTGAGATGAAAAGGTTTACCTAAAAAGAAATTGAACCTAATGACCACTTATGCTCCACAATCAGGATTCCCACTTTATCGCTGACATTGATATATTGTGAAAACAAAGAAAAAGGGGGTTCCCCCCATCTACCATGTTGAGTTAACGGAAGTCGTCATCAATTGCGTCTAACTTCTTGTCTTCCTGAAAAATACCACAAGGGGGAGGGTTACACAACATTGAAGCCAAAGCCACCACACTCGAGGTTGCATCATGAGGTACACCATGATGTGTATGTCATGTTTGTTGGATCGAATGTGAAAGAAATAAAAAATTTACTGTATTTATGGAGTAACACACAAAAAACCATTTAAATGGAATGAAATAGATAATATATTTGCAAGAGATAAGCTTATTATTACACATTAAAACAGAAAAGTAAACAATTGATTGTTTTATTGATTAAAAGTGAAATAAGTAAATAAAAGAGTTTATTTGTTAAATTAAATATTATAGTTTATTTAATAAAGTAATTTATGTAATTAATAAGTCATGATAAAAAAACCCACCGACTAGTATATGTATAAAAAGAAAAACATAATAAGCATACATTGCTAATCAGCTACCAGCTACCAAAGAGCCGTAGGTCTAACAATATCAAAAGGGCGAATAAGTGCCCAATAGCCAAATGTTGGATGTTCAAGTCACGTTTATGATGCAACATTAGAGTAGTGATATATATGTAAGTTGTTCTATAAAAAAAATCATAGTCAACTCTCCTCCCCACTCTAGAAATCATCGTCTTACCTTCTTTCTCCCCTGACGATCAATGGGTTCAATCAAGTCAAAAAGGAAGATTAATGTTGGTCAGTTGGTTGGGTGGCAAGAGTCTCTCGAGATATGTGCGGATACCGATAGATAGATGTAACTAATTAATCATGAATATTATTCTCCAATATCAGAGGATCCTTATACTCGAGGTAACAAATTCTAACACTCTATGGATTAATTGTTGACCAAATTAGTTATAACCAAATGAAACATCCTTCATATGAGTTATTTGAAACAATCTTTTAAAATAAAAGTTTATTTTAAAACCAAAATTCAATTTAAGAAAACAAGTTATGGATAAATGTTATAACCGATCAAGTGCTTAACATTTAAAAAGTTCAAAGTAAGCGAGACATACAAGAGTATCACAATATGATCAATAGACAAAGATAAATAAACATCTTACATACACTTTAGGATAAAATACACTTAAATCACAATGTTTTTAAAAAAATAGATTTTGACACTGTTGCTTTTTGTTACAGTTTAGTCGGCAAGTTTTTTGGTGAAGTGACATACTTACGTGTCATTCTTTGGTGAAGTGACATACTTACATGACACTATTTGGTTATGTGGTGCTAACTTGACATGATGTTGTGTCAAAATTGAAAAAAATGACACAAAAGATACTAAGCTTTTATTTTATTTTATTTTTTTCAATTTGACATTCCAATTTTTTTTGAAGCAAACTTCATTCTTTCAATTCCGTCGGTGTTGAACATTTTTCATTTGAAACAATATAATTTGTTTTACATTTGAAACTATGAACACAATTTTACATTTAAAAACCATGTTTTTTTTAAATACTAGTTCTTATATATATATATATATATATATATATATATATATATATATATATATATATATATATATATATATATACATTTTAGCCATAATGTTACGTCAAAATATGTATTATTTATATTATAACCATATTTTTCACTAAATACAAAATTTTAGTACGGCCTTGGAGGTACGAAGTGCACACTTAGTCTCATCTAAGGCCGTACTAAAGTATGGTATAGATATGCATGCTATTATTCTGTTCAACTTGTGATGTGAGTTTTCCTCACTATACTTTCGGGTCGAAGGCACCAAGGCCGGCCCATCGGTTGATAACCTAATATTGTTGATATGCTAAAGTATGGAATAGATATGCATGCTAGTTTTGATATGCTAGTTTGGTAGATCTGTAGGACTACCTGTGATACTGTCTGTTTATCTGTTTATGATGTTATCTGTTATATGTCGACATATTGTTGACGGGTTTTATGCATAAGAACAATCCTATGTGCTCATACAAACCCTAATGCTTGGATCTAGGTTTCTCTATTGTACATGCAATGAATCCAAGACTTATAAACCCTAATCTAGCATACATAATTTCGAAATTAACATATAACATCAGATCTAGATGTTTACCTCTTCAATGGAAGCTTGAATCTTCTTTCTTGGAGCTTAGAGTCACAAGTGCAACTCCTCTAATGGCTTACAAACACCATAAGCAAGAAGGCAACTATGAGAGAGGAGGGAGGATGCTTAATTTCGGCCCAGGGTTTCTCTTGGGAAGCAAGTTGTAACACCCAGAATCAGAAAGACCAAGAAAAGAAAGGAAAGGCTCTAAGTCAAGAGTCAACTCGTCGAGTCCAGGGAGGAACTCGACGAGTCGGAGCTGGATCCGGGGCATAGAGTAAGTGACCGACTCGGCGAGTCGGCTAGTGGACTCGGCGAGTCTGGTCTGGACGAGAAAAACCCTAATCCCGAGGGTTGTGCCCTATTTAAAGAACATTACATCCCTTCCCCAGCCTCTTGGCTACCCTTTTGAGATCCAGAAACCCTAAATTGTGAGTGAGAGTCCTTGGAAGCAATTTGGAGCTTAGATAAGTGGTTTTGTGAAGAGATCTTGAAGATCAAGACGCTTGGATCAAGGGGGTTTGCAGAAATTTGGATTAATCTTCAGTGGGAGGTCATCTTGGAGGTAATAAGCTGTTACCTTCACCCTTTTTGCATCTAGATCTATTCTTGAATGAGATTTGGGGCTATTTTGGCAAGATTGAGGTCTATTCTGGGTTTGGGGCTTAGATCATAGATTGCTACTTCAGATCTAGGGCTGTGATGGTCCAGAATGTCTTAAAGCAGCAGTCAATGAGTCATTGGTGAAGCCCCTTTGTCTTAAACCCTAGCCCTAGAGTGTTTTGGGCTTATATCTCCTTGGTTTCACGTAAAGTTTGAAACTTTATGTAGGAGATAGACTGTAGAAGAGTGGATTTATGGATTGGAGCCCCTGCATGGCTCGAAGAGCCACTGTATGGATTGAGAACTGGAGAGACTCGGCAAGTCACATGGGTGTACTCGACGAGTTGTATGAATAGGTGCATGGACTCCGCGAGTTGGAAGAACAACTCGGCGAGTCTGTTGAAGATTGCCTAGGACTCGGCGAGTCTGTTCTTGGACTCGACGAGTTAGGTCGCAGAACCCCCAACCTCTTCTGGTTAAGACGCGGATCAGTGAGTTGAGTGGTGACTCAGTGAGTTGGACAGGATGGGACTCAGAGATCGTTGAACTCGACGAGTCCTGGGGTGACTCGGCGAGTTGGGTCGTATTTTGAGAGCTTCTGAGTTTAAGGACTCGGTGAGTCTTCGGGTTGACTCGGCGAGTCGAGTCAACTGGAATGTTGACTTTGACCAGGACTTTGACTTTAACCAGAGTTGACTTAGTTTGACTTCTAGAGTTCAGTTTGGAACTAAGTGCTTTATTGATATTAGTAGCTCGGGGAGTTAGTGGAGCAGCCGTTCAGAAAGTGGACGGACAGCAGCCAGAGGGTTATCAGCAAAGTTCAGCAGTGTGAGGTGAGTCTCATCACTGATTGTATGGGTCTACGGCCACAATGCCGACCCATTTGGTTTATGTATGGTAGGAAGACCCGGGGGTTAGCCCTAGGCATTATGCATGAAAGACCAGGAGGCGGCTCCTGGCACATAGTATGTTATTATGTATGATAGGAAGACCCGGGGGTTAGCCCTAGGCAATATGTATGAAAGACCAGGAGGTGGCTCCTGGCGCATTGTATGCTATTGCGTATGAAAGACCAGGGGGTGGCTCCTGGCACACTATATGCGGAGTGGCCTAGTAGAGTAGTCTGTATAGTTGTCTTTGTGATACTTGCATGAAAGACCAGGGGGTGGCCCTTGGCACTTGTCTGTAAGACCCAGGGAGTGGCCCCAGGCTTGACCAGGAAGACCACGTGCGGCCCGTGGCATAACCGTAAGACTATGTTTGGCATATAGCACCTTACTTGATTATGGATACGTTTGTTATGTATGGCTCATGGTTACGTATGGCATGTATGGATCAGTTGATATGTATGGTATGTGGTATGTGGGGGAACTCACTAAGCTTCGTGCTTACGGTTTTCAGTTTTGGTTTCAGGTACTTTGTTTTCAAGGAAAGGAGCCGGCTCGATCGCAGCGCATCACACTACGTTTTCCGCACATGAGATCTTTGGGATCACACTCTGATATGGTTTTATGATAATATGTTTTGATTACTGACACTTTGGCTTGACACGAGATATTATTATGAATGTTTTTATACTGATGGTTTATGTAACAACTTATTTACAAATGAAATTTTTGGTCTTAAATTTTGGGATGTTACAAGTTGGTATCAGAGCCCTGGTTTGAGGGATTCGGACACACCCTCGGGGGTGTCTGGACTCAAATCGAGGGATTAAAAGATTTTTACAAGAAAATGGTTTTCTAAAAGATAAGTTAAAGGGGTTTTGAGAAAGAACGAAGTGTGTGATGTGCGCGACCGGCCGAGCTCAAGTAAGTATTCCCCAAAGTACCCATACAAGTTTATGTTATGTTTATCAGCTTCTTAGAACAGCATGCTAGAATAGGGCTAAGGATCTAGGAATGATGCCTTATGTGCCTGCCTTATGTGTTTCAGCTTATGAGAATTACATGCTAGTATTGAGTAGATAG